AGGACCTTCTGAAACCCCTGCCTCTCTGTGCGTCGTCAGATACCGGTGAACAGAAGCAGGATCCGAAAAACGTCTCCGTGGAACACTCCACATCATCAGGTGGCGGCGGGGGCCCCGCGGACGCGTCTCACAGACTCGAGGCGCCGGCAGTGTCGACCACAGATGAAAAAACCTCCGTTGCCAGCAAGAATCAGTCGCCTGCGGAGGTGCCGCCAACCGTCTTGCCGACATCCACGCTGTTACGGAGCGTGCTAACAGACTCAAGCTTAGGCAGGGGGAAGCCGCTAGCAGACAGGGTGAATCAGACTGAACCAGTTACCCCGGCCTCCTCCTCGCCTGTCCTTGGAGATTGGTGAGTTGGTGTGCATAACCTCTCCTTTTTGGGTTGCCACCTTGTGTGATGGTCCTTGCCTTTTCGCTCTCTTCCTGTGGAGAATATTGTTGAGCTGACGCTGTTATACTTACTTGTACTTGTTGCGGCTGCGATCATGACTGATCTAGCCAGTCTGAATGATGTCCCGTACAGTGCTTCTCCACGCGTGACAATCTGTGGCCGCAGACCTGAACATTTTTAGCCATTCTCTTCGCCAGCGCCGGAGGCCGAATACCTAAGGTCCAAGAACCACTTGCATGTCCTGACGGACTGAGTCGAGCCATATTTTGAATTGACCCCTACTTCGGCGTTTCCAATTAGGTAACGGTTTGGGGTCGAGGGCAGTAGCACTGAGCTCATGACGTTGACGGCGAAGAACGTGTCCAATCATCCTCAATCGACTTTCTAGGATTGGCTGGGCTATTCTTGCAATGTTGTCGTGACGAATGCGGAGTGTCTAAGTGGAGCCAAAGTCGGTGTACTTCACTCGAAGGATGGTCCTCAAGCAGAAGGCGTCAGAGCCTTCCAGCTTCCGTTTTTCTTCCACGCGCATAGCCTAACATTCGCATCCGTATAGAAGAACGGACCGCACGGATGCAAGGTACGCACTGATCATTGTGAAGTTAGAAATATTGCGTCGGGTCCATAGGCACTTCCGAAGGCTGGAGTAAACTTGTAGTGCTGCGTCAATTCGGGAGACAGTGCCCTGTTTACGCTGTCCATTTGACAGCAACCTCGCTTCGAGATATTTGAAACTGTCTACTTCTTCAAGTTTACAGCCACTAATCTCGAGAGGTGCCTTCTCTTGGGCAGGGATTCAGCATAAAAACACTTTAGTCTTCCCAGCGTTTATGGACGAAAACCGACCGATTTCGCCACCCCTTTCACCCCTAATACCATAGACTGTAGATCGCCAAAGCTTGAAGATAGTGAAGCAGTATCATCGGCATAGTCAAGGTCAGTCAACCGGCGCCCGGGCGCAAGCTCAATACCGTCATTTTCCTGTAGAGCCTTCCCGAGAGCTCAGTCAATGGCCATGCCAATCTCCCTTGTTTTCGCCGGCTATGCTACCGCCTTTCTTCATTGGAAGCGTTTGCCATGTCGTATTTGCGCAATGGCTTGTGACCGTTTTATAGGTTACTAATTTGGTTCGACGCCCAGTCATATCCACTGTTATTACCATTGTGTGGTTCGCGACGGCCTAAGCTTGCTTATTTTGCCATCCCTAATGAGCCTAGTAGTCATTCTGGTGGATTCTAGATGATTGCTTAGGAAATCC